TTTCCCTGCTGATCGCACATCCGCAAGCAGAAGAAAGTTCTGAGGGTTTGGCTCTGCCAAGGTTTGACAGAGCCCAGGCAGAAGTGGGAGCGCTGACACAGCCTCCAAAGTGCTGTGCACTTCCCTGCCTCAGCCCTCTGGTAGCCCTGCCACCACAGGCACCAAAGCAACTGATGTATCCACAGTTTCAATGATCTCTTGAAAGTGAGACACAGGTTTTCACATGAGCCTGTCTGTACCCCCACCCCAGACACACACACACACACACACACACACACACACACACACACACACACACGACCTAACTGCTTAACCTCCTGGCAGCTGGGCTGATGCATAGCTAACACTACTTGGCCAGTTACTCTTCAGATAGCTAGAGAGCAAAATCACTCAAGCTAAATTACATTCATCCAGAAAACAAACAAACAACAAAAACCTGCTATGAATTAAAAGTGGGACCTTTTTCTCCCAATTTTCTTTTAAAGTCTCTTTTCAGCTATTAACAAGTATGCACAACTTCAGTTTAGCAGCTACCTATGCAAAACAGCTTCCTTACGGCTAAGTCCTTTCCTCCTGCTGTTTGTTCACCTGTTGAACTCTGCTTGTTTTGATGGAGCTGCTCCTCCTTCAGAGGGGTGTGATGGCACAACCACAGCATACCAAAAGGAAAAACTCTTGAGACCTCCACTTAATGCCAGTCCAACCTGGCACCTCTGCCTGGCATGACCTAATGCATGCAAACACACTGGCTCCTGCAAGTTCCAAAAGCAGTTCAGCTGTGTTTGCAATATAAAGTATGCCAAAAAGGCAGGGCTTGCTAATGTGGGTGCAGCACCACAGTGATGGAGCACTGCTACGTCTGGTGCCAGTCATCAGCTGCTCCCAGCTTGCAGTTCTCCTTCCTGCAACGTGTGCGCTTCTGCCATGCCCTAAAAGCCAGAGCAGAATCCATACCCACAGCAAGGAATGTGGTAATCCCTTCATGTTTTAGTTTTGCATATTTGAAAGGAAGCAGCCTGAGCTATTGAGCTATAAACAGGAAGACACCCTGACTGCACCTTTGACTTTTACTGTGCAGGTCAAATATCACAGCCGCTGTGATAGCTCTCTGCATGCGATCATTAAGGGGAAAAAAAGAAGGATACAAAACCAAAGCGGCAGGTTCCAGAGTTCTCAAGCAGAGTCACAACCTGCCCACATTACAGCCAGCAGGTTGTTCCTTTGGCAGGTTAAGCAAGTTTCACTACATCAAGTTAAGGGTGGAGAGGAAAAAGATTACTAGAGCTACAGCCCAAGATAAGCGGGAAGATAAAGCCAAGAAGTACAAAGGATAGACACAATCTTCATCTCTCTCTTTTACTTTGCAATATGGATGTCATTCTGCCCCAAGAAAACATTTATCGCCCAAAATGGGTTGAACTGAAGCAGATGCCAAGTCACATCCACAGCCTTTCTTTTAAAGTTAAACACTCCCTTCACCAAGGCTTCTTTTACTTAAAAAGTTTCCTAACAATAATTAAGGGGAGGGGGAAGTATTTGTGTTGCGTTATCCTCAAGAGAAGAGTTTGCCTTGATTAGATCTTACATGTAACACTGAAAATGTTCAACCTCACTGTTCAGCCTGCCAACATACAAAAAGAACAGGAACAAAGCTGTGCTTAGAAGTTATTTTCCCATTGTGACTATAACAACGTATTTTGGCCTGACAACACTGGCATACTTTGAATGCGAAAGACAGGCTCATAAGTCAGCCTGGCTTTCAGCATCTTACAATGATAAAGGAAAATGATATGACATTCATCAGTTCCAAAAAAATAAAGATAAACACTCAACACTAAGTGAGAATGTAGTTCAAAAAAAGAAGGGCAAAATGAGGACATGCACAGTAATGCTCATATTCAGCTGCAGATGCAAGTTCCAGTAACATGTGCCAGCAGCTCTGAAGTGACCACCACTGCAGCTCAGACAGCCAGAGCCAGAGCGGATGAAACTTAGCTTTTTTTCCCAATTTAAATCAATGAATTGTGGCACTGAGCCATCCTGCAGAGCAGCCCAAGTACAGCAGACAAGCTCAGGAAGGTACAGAGCCCTGAAAACTGCACTTCATATGGTGGTTATTAGTCTCCCCAGCACGCATGCAAGTACACACACACTTGGAACAGTACTGAGGGTGGAATACTAAAATGCAACTGTGATACAAAGGATGACAGGAAGGAGATGAAAATTTCAGCTTAATATTAGGAAGGACTCCTTTGCACTAAGTGCTAGCCAGCTTTGATCAACCTCTCAGAGAAAGTGGTGGAACTCTCTTTAAAGTGAGACCAGAGAACCAGAAAAATTTGCAAAGAATAATCCTGAAACAGAAAGAGGAAATTAAGTCTTTTCCAAAAAAGGTATGATCCACCTCTGAACTAAACTCTTAATGTTTAAGAACTGCTATGTGTAAAAGGAAATAACTTGCGACACACTAGGCTTTTTGCAGCACAGCTGTACATGAAAAAGCTCTCCTCGTAATCCCTTCCCTCCCCCTCACACAAGGAATTTCACAGGTGTGCCAAGAAGATCCAACTGCGCTATTACTGTGTACAAGTCAGTCCTCAGGACAAAATCACATTTTTTCAAGTGCTCGACTGCCTTTCATTCCATCCTCCCCCTGAGAATCACCTTCCGCTTCCCGTCTTCTGCCACAACTTTCCTCTCCCCTCTCAGGGTCACATGAACAGGATGACTAAAACGATACTGCACAAGAATTCCCCCAGCTTCTTTCCTTTTTCTTTTTTTTTTAAGACAAATGGGCAGAAGACGTTTCCAGCCTCACACTGCAATGCAGTGCATGATTTCAGAAGGGTGACTATTGCACCAGAAGAGCAGCAAGTGAATACTCTGCTACTTTATATTGAAGAGATTTCTGTAATAATAAGCAAATGCAGAACGCAAGTGCCTTACTCCTTTTTCTCCTTGTGGATGGTGTTGGATCAGTTAAGTGAAGTGACATGCAGCTCCGGCTGGTCACATCCCAGTCTTTACCGCATCTCCAAGAAGGGCTGATGTACTTTCTTAATGCCGAGGGGATTTGCATGTTGATCGTATAAGCTTTCTGGAGGTCTTGAAACAGGGCAGCCTACAGCTTCAATGCCAAAACCAGAACGTGGGCAGGTTTTGACTGGCTGGCTCAAGGCTAGAATGAAGTGACATGCAGCTCCGGCTGGTCACATCCCAGTCTTTACCGCATCTCCAAGAAGGGCTGATGTACTTTCTTAATGCCGAGGGGATTTGCATGTTGATCGTATAAGCTTTCTGGAGGTCTTGAAACAGGGCAGCCTACAGCTTCAATGCCAAAACCAGAACGTGGGCAGGTTTTGACTGGCTGGCTCAAGGCTAGAATGAGCAGCCAAAGCATCCCGAAGGAGGCAAGTGCGAGACACAGCTGCTCCCAGCTCCGGGTCCCACTGAATTATGAACAAAACCAGGAGCTCCTGCTTTGCATGCAGAAAACCTGATCAGCGCCACTTTGGCTCTTGGAGAGGAAGCATCCCTCACATGCGTGGGAATCTCTCACCTCTTAATTCCGGGGAGAAAATAAACTAACACCATAGCTGCACCCTGAGTTTCTGTGGCTGCTGATGTGCTTCACATCCCTAAGA